CCCGGTGGCAGGCCGCATGAGGAGCTGTCGGATCACGTCAGGCGCTGTCGGAGCATGTGCTCTGCAGTTTCGTCAGACGGCGCGCCGTGTCGTCAGGCCATCAGGATACGTGCCGTGTCGTCAGGCCATGTACCGTGCAGCCCGGCGAGGCCGGACGTCGTCAGTTCACGCGGCTGTCTGTCGGGCCGCGCTCGAAGTGTTTAGTCGCGCTCACAGAAGACGTCAGTTGGCACCGAGTGGCGTCAGTTCGTAGGCGGTTCGGTCAGGTCGCGAGGCTCCGTCAGTCCACGTCATGCCGCACCGTCCGTATCCTATTTCATAAGGGACACCATGAAACGTTGCGCTGTTTAGCTAGCTGGCTTCACTGGAATTTAGTTTATTGGCATAAACAGCAGATCTCCAGCTAGTAAACCGTCCCCTTGCGGGGGAGGAGCCTTTGTGCCCCCGCCGCGTGCCGGGCCGCCCTCTCCCACGCTGCCGGCTGGGCATGCGGCCGCCCGCCGGGCTCCCGGGAACAGGGCTGCCCGTTCGGCGGCCTCTGCTGATCCGGATCGGGGCTGAGTCACGTCTCTTCGGCGAGCAGGGCTCCCCGGATGCGGGTGGGCTGAGCGATGAACGGTTGCAGTGTAGTCAGAAGTGAGCGCCGATCTGTTCTCGGTGTTCTGGTTTCGGCGGGTGACTTCACCGCACGTCCTGCCAAGTTTTCCCTCGTCGCCGGCGGCCGGCCGGCAAGACGGGCCATACACGACAAATGGCGTTCGAGGGCGGTGTGGCCCCTGCGTCTGGCGCCATTCGCAGTTTTCTGACGTCATCGTCGGGGTTGTCGGTTGTCGCGATGCTCCGTCGCGGTAGCCGTTAGGCGTGAGGTGCCAGACGGCCCGCAGCGTAATGCCGTAATGCCGTAACGCTCTCGCCGCGTGACTGATGCGATGCCGTGAGCGCGTGCGCCGTCGGGGCCGTGCCCTGCCCCCGTCAGCCGCAGACCAGCGCGGGTCTACCAGTGCGCGGTACCCGGCAGCTGGAAGCCACACACGCCGGCCTCGCGCCCTCCGATGCCTCGCACCGAATGGGGGCCGCGTTCGTAACTTGGCTCGCCGAGGCGATTTTTGGCGCGTGCTTACGCGCTGAGAAGGGCTCCGAATGTTCTAGGGACGGGTGGTTGCTGTCCGCCCTCATTTCTGGGGCTGAAAGGCTGGCCCCGTAGAAGGGGCCGTCCGCGCCAGGAGCCAGTTCAGGGCTGTTCGGTGCGGCTGTGTGATGTGTGCCGGTATGACTCGGTTGACCCCTTGACCTCTTTTACTCGTGACCTCCTTTTGTGCGCCACGCGTCAGGGGCCAACGTGGAAGGGATTTCAGGGTCGGGCCAGGCCATTGCAGGCGTCACGTTTTGATGTAAACCCCGAGAAGACGTCGTGCTGAACGTGTGCTGAAGGTTTCGCGCCTCTTGACTCGTCATTTACTTTCCCTTGCAGTTCGTGAGGAGTGGATCGTCAAATAGGGACAGCGCTGAGTCGAATCCCATGGCCATGGACGATGACAACTTCAAATCCGCGGAGTCAGACCGCGCGGAACACAGCTCTGGCCGTGTGGTGGTCAGCTTTGTCTCGGACAGACAGCGATGCCAAATCCGATCGTGTCGTCTCGCGACATCGTCACCGCCGGGTGTGCCCCCCCCCCCCCCCCCCCATGGTCAATCATCAGCGTGATCGGGCCGTAACACGGTCAAGCGCCACGGCATCAGGGTTGACGTTGGCTGTAGTCAGAAGTGCAGGCTTCCGTCAGTGCCTGTACCGGTGGTGTCGGGCTGTCAGTGTCAGTCCCGGCATCGGGTGCGCCGTTCCAGCTATGGCTTGCGTGCCGCCCAGCGTCGGGCTTCTGTAATGTCGGACAGCCGGCGCCGACCGTGTCAGGCGCCGTCGGTGTCAGCTCCGGCGCCGTCGGCGGCGTCCCAGCTATGTTCTGTTTACCGTCGGGTCCGGATGTCGACGCCCTCTGTATATCGCCGTCGGGCCCGACGACCCAAGCACGTCTGGTGGCGGCGGCGGAGCGGCTGGGTGGCTGACGTAACGCAGCGCCGGCTCCCGCTGCCGCCGGCTCCTGCCACGGTCGGCTCCTGCGATCGCCGGCTCCCGCCACCGCCGGCTCCCGCCACGGTCGGCTTCCGCTGCCGCTGGCTCCTGCGACTGCCAGCCCTCGTCGCCACCGGCTCCCGCCACCTCCGGCTCCCGTTGCCGCCGGCTCCTTCGACCGCCGGCTCCCGCCACGGCCGGCCGCCGGCGCAGCCGCACGCCGGCGCGAGACGCTGGCCTGCAGAATCGAGCGTCGAGCTGAGGACCGGACGGCGCGCGCTGAGGCGGCCGTGATGGAGAGATAGCTGGCGGTGATTTGAACGCGTCACGCCAGCGATAGCTGAGCGGGAAAGCGGACTGCCTGAAAGCCCGTAATGTACTTGTCAGGCAGGACGGTTGCATGGAAATGGATGCCCCATTCGCGAAGACCCAACGATGAAAGTGATGATCTGTATTGAACCGACATAGCCTTTGTGAAAGGGTCAGGTAGATTTATGAACAAGGACACCTCGAGAGGTCTGCAGTGACACACAATTGTTTGCGACACCTGCAATTCTTTTGATACCCTTCACCAAACAACGATTTCGTGACAGCAGACACATTTTGGGGTGCAGTTTCCTTTTCAGCTGGGGGGGGGGGGGGCTTCTGCCCTCCCCCTCTCCCCCTTCAACTTGGGCTTCAGCCCCACCCGCCCCCCTCCCCCCAACTTTGGGAAAAAGTGGGAAAAGTCCGGGGAGGAAACTGCTTTTGGCATATTTTGGGACGGGTTGCGTTATTTTTCACTGTTGATCCCCCGCCCTCGACACACACAGACACACGCTAATTTTGCGGAACTACACCTCTGTTTTGACACGAGACGCGTAAGACAACCGTGTGCTTTATTTGTTCACGGTAAACAGTGCGTTGTCTCGCTTTTCCGCATGTGTCTTAAGCCGGGGTAACCTGAAAGTGGTGCACCGATTTATGAGCATGTCTTCATTACAGCTTAGAACCCTGGCTCCTGGTCTTCAAAGTCAATGATTGGGGTGCATCCCATTATTGGGCATGAACCATGTTTTTCCATTTGTTATATAGAACAGCTGAGACAGCAGGCGGAATGAGTGGAAGCTCACTCAGAGCGGTGTGTCACGGAAGAACAACTGCAGCAGGCAGATCAAAAGCGGAGCGAAAGGTACGCGTCAGCCGGCGGTGGTGGATGGTGCGGACTGCGCATGCGCTGCGTTTGAAGAAGGCGCAGCTGTGGACAGCTGACGCGGCCGCATGTGTGAGTGGCCGGGTCACCTTCGTATGGCTGAGGTCACAGGTGAATACGTCCTGCCGACAGGCGTCATGTTCACATGGCTGCCGGGACGCTGCTGGCCGCTTGTTCACAGCTGCTGGCCGCCTGTTCACAGCTGCTGGCCGCCTGTTCACGGCTGCCGGCCGCCTGTTCACGGCTGCTGGCCGCTTGTTCACGGCTGCCGGTGTACAGGTGCAAGGATGTAAGAAAAGAGATGGAAATTTATGTTCACCTGGGGTATAAGCCTCCCGTTTGTCTGTAGACTAGGAACGGCCTTCGGGGTTGCGTAAAGAAAGTTTCTGAAATTCTAACGTGTCTCCCAGTCGGCTTGCATAAGTTCCACCTATGGCAAAGCGTCGGTGCTGCGGCCGCCGCTGCGTCCCAAACGGAAGGAGCGATCGGGAGAAAGGAGCTCGCACGCGTGCCCTCCAGCGGGGCCGGTTTCGCCGCCTGCGCGCCGCGCCGCGCCGCGTGGGCGCACCCGGAACGGCCGTGCGGACGTCCGGAGTGGCCCGCTCCAGGGCCGCCGGGGCCGGTGGCGGCGGGTGACCGGGGCGGCGGAGGGCGACCGCTGCGTGGCCGCCCCAGGGCCGCCGGGGCCGGTGGCGGCGGGTGACCGGGGTGGCGGAGGGCGACCGCTGCGTGGCCGCTCCAGGGCCGTCGGGGCCGGTGGCGGCGGGTGACCGAGGTGGCGGAGGGCGACCGCTGCGTGGCCGCTCCAGGGCCGCCGGGGCCGGTGGCGGCGGGTGACCGGGGTGGCGGAGGGCGACCGCTGCATGGCCGCTCCAGGGCCGTCGGGGCCGGTGGCGGCGGGTGACCGGGGTGGCGGAGGGCTACCGCTGCGTGGCGGCGCCGGGACCGCCGGGGCCGGGGGCGGCGGGTGACCGGGCGCCGGCGCCGCGCTGGAGGTCGCCACCGAGCTCGGTCGGCCCGGCGGCCGCCGAGGGGAACTCGTGGCGCGCTGTGATGTGGCCAGACGGGCTTCAGAAGACTGGTCGTTGTAACGCTCACCTTTGGCGGGGGAGAGGAGGGATACGGGAAGTTTGTTCAAGCTGCCGGGTTTTAGGAACGCTGCTGATTTTTGGTGGAGACTGTTGGTTTTTCCTTCAGGTTTCATCAGTGTAGCTTTCGTAATTGGTCTGTTTTGAATTTGTGAGGTGGTGGTCGTTGCGTGAGCTCCGGAGTTGTGGTGAGGGAAGCGTTTGTGGGACGCGGCTTCCCTGAATGCCCATGTGAGCATTTACCACATCCATCATGAATAGAGAGGGAAAGTATGTCGTCACTTGCAGGCTCGGCTTGATGAAGTTGGATTGACAGACAGACAGACACACCACTTTGTACGAGCCGCCCACCGATTCTCCACAATCGCCTTGCCCCCCCCCCCCCCTCCCCTCCCCTCGTGAAAGTGAAAAAGCGATCATGATCAACCATCCAGGGTGAACGAGGTTTCAGCTGGCGGTCTCAGCTGGGCGCAGATTGCGTCGTCGGACGGTCGTAACGCAGAGTGGATGACCTTGTGCAGCGGTCGTAACCGAACGCGGATGTCCGCGGCCGCGCCGCCAGCCGGCCGGCGGCACGTGACGCGGCCTTGCGTCCGATGTCGCCGCGCGTGCCGGCCGGCCGTTTACTCAGACTCGCTGTCTCTGTTCGCAGGTAAAGATGGCAGCCGGGTTACGACAGTGGTGGCCACCCCGGGCCAGGGGTCGGACCGCACGCAGGAGGTCTCGTACTCCGACACCAAGGTAGGCGCGCGCGGCCCGGGCGGCGCCCGCGCGCCGGCCGCGCGGCGCAGGCGGCGGCGCACCTGTCGCACTGTTGACGCCGGCGGCGCACGGCCAGCGCCGCACCTGTGTACGGCTGGGGATGGACTGTGCAGAGCGGCTGCGAAGCCGGCAACAGGCTCGCCGTGTTGTTGTGGGATGTTTTCGCGCTGTGGCCGCGGGTGGGTTTGGCTTGTTGGGGGCCGGGCGGCGCCCGTGCTGACTGCCTGTTGTAAGCCACGCACTGGACTGGCCGAACGTGGGATTTGATGTTTGGGAGGGCTGAACGGACTTGCGATTGGTTACTGGGGGATCCAGAAGTTTCAATTGTACGTATTGACTTGTATCGCCACATCAATAGCCACTAAGCCCGTAACCACGAGCGAGCAGTCGTGTTCATCATGGACAAATCGTGGGCAGTTGGGTAACCGTTGACCGATGACTGTCACAGCCCCTTCCACGCGCTCATTAACGTTTGCCTCCCGCAGTTCCGTAGGACCCCGTGCACAATTCTACGTTTCATTTCCTGCAAGATTGATGGCACGGGCTAGTAATGCGTTAATGTTTACGTCCTTGGAAGTTTTGTGTCCCATGTCCACATTCGGAACGCCCAACAGTAGAACATAACACACTTGCAACAAACATCTGACAGACCACGGTAATATCTGCGGCGGTCATATTGCTGAATCTGGCTGGGACAGGCATCGTGGAACGCCTCCTTGTTTAGAACGTAACACGTTAAGGATGCACAGAAACTTGCAGATGAGTGTCACAATGTTCCTATTTGCTCATGGTTTGAAACGCTGCCTGGTAGCACAGTTGTGCATTGCTTGAATTTTCCCCTGCTGTAGACGAACGCGCCTTTGGTGGTGGAAATATTCGTACGTTGCTTCTTATTTCGTGTTGGGCTCTGGACATGCTCGACGTTGCGTAATCCATTACCGTAAAGTCGGGCCTTTGTTTGGGCTGTCCATCGCTCTGGCGGCCATTACTGCCGGTCGTCCTCACATAGCACACAAAGCCGGCGCTGGAACGCTGCTGAACGGGCCGGATATTCGGTTACGGTCGAGCCGTCGGTGCCATGTCACCGACTGCCCGTGTCAGCGAATTGCCAGCGCGCCCCGCCCCTGACTGGTGCGGCTCAGTGGGCGGGTGATCCTGCGGCGTAGGGGTCGCGCCGCGCGCGCTGCTCGTGCTGGGGTCGGGCTGCTCTGATGCTGCGATTGTCCAGTCCCACCCACTTATCAATGTGTCTCGTAGCAGTCTGTGGCCCTGCTGGTCCTCCTGTCCCTGTCATTCTCTGGCACTACCGTCGCCGTCATCCCCTGACTCTTCTGTCCCCGTCATCCTCTGCTGCTGCTGTCCCCGTCATCCTCTGCTGCTGCTGTCCCCGTCATCCCCTGACCCTTCTATCCCCGTCATCCTCTGCTGCTGCTGTCGCCGTCATCCCTTGATTTTCTGTCCTCGTCATTCCCCGTCTCTGCTGTCGCCCTTTTCCCCAGCCAGTGCTGTCCTCCCCATTGAATGATCGTGCCCGAGACCCTGTGCTATTTGTAAAGCCAGTAACGTTTTCTGCAATCGGCGCCAGACCACAAAGAAACGTGCGTGTTCTGGGCCTTGCTTTGGGCTTTACCGCCAGACTGTGACCAAGCGACGTGCAGTCCACCGACACATCGACGCTGGGGGAGATGGTCAGCACCGCTGGGGCTGGCCAGGGCAGGACCGTGCTGTTGATGCATGCAGCCCACCGTCACATCGACGCTGGGAGAGATGGTCAGCACCGCAGGGACCGGCCGGGCAGGACCCTGCTGTTGATGCGACGCTTTCTGTTTCAGGTGATAGGCAATGGCAGCTTCGGGGTGGTTTACCAGGCAAAACTGTGTGATACGGGCGAGCTGGTGGCGATCAAAAAAGTGTTGCAAGACAAGCGATTTAAGGTGAGGGAATAGGCCGCCGCTCGTGGTGGAGGGCTCACGAACGGTGGCTAAAGATGGACAGCAGACCAGTCAGGGCTCCAGTGTCGCTTATGAAGGGTTGAAGGCGGCTGTGTGTATCCACGACTGTCGTCACGTGAGGCGGGGGTCTCGGTGTTGGTAGTAGTAGCGTCACGTGCGTCACGTTTGCTGAATGCGTCCCTCTCGTGCCGTCTGCGGGTACGAAGCCATTTGTTGTTGGCACACATATTCCTGAGGTGTTCTTCTCACATTTGGGAACGTTTAAGTGACAGCCTGTAAGTTTTTTTTTTCGTTTGCTGGCGCCTTGCGCGTGCCTGAGCCTGGGTTTCGTCTGGGTGAAAGTGGCGCAATATTTGTTCAGCCGAAGTCTCAGAGGCGTACGTGAGTCTCAGATGAGATCCAGTGAGCGGCGTCACGCATCCTGCAGGGAACTGTTGCCCTTGCGTGTGCCAGCGGCAGGCCGGCGGAGTAAAGCGGCGTCGTTAGTCCTGCAAAACCCGCCATCACCATCAAGGCCAGATGCCGCCCGCGGAGCAACAGCTCATTTGCTGGCACTTGTGGTTTGCTTTTGGCGCGTTACGGACCCAGAATTGAGGAGATGGCACTGGGCACGTTATTAAGCGAAGTGCCGCTACTCACAGCATTTTTCATTCATTAAAAATCATATCGATGTTTTTATCAGCTGGCAAACCATATCTACCATAGAAAATGACGCCTCAAAACGATTCCATATGACGTACTGTATTCCAGTGAGTACATGATGCGGAACTACTTGTTTGTAAATAGCCGCGGCCGGCGGTATTTTGGGTTAGACTGCTGCCCGTGGTCTTGCTCCGTGTAGTGAAGCGCTGATTTAATTACAAATTAGCAAGGAACTACGCCAGGATTTGCGTAGCCGCTTCGATTTGCCGGGCCGTCAGTGTGTGTAGGATAGCAGTCCTTGCTGCTATTTGCCGCTGGCCGTCGCCCAGTGCACTGTGTTTATGCGCGGCAGGGAGTGAAGTTATCCGGCGTTGCTTCATTAAGAGACGCCGATTATTTGCCATGGTTTAAGCCTGACAGTCGGCCGCTCTGGCGACAAGTGGTGAAACATTCAGGTATCGGTGTTTATCGCTACCTATCGGTGCTTGCACTTACGGGCTGTACCACTGCCGCTTCGTGCGTTCCGCTAGTGTTTGCGATCCTTCAGGACTAGTTGGCACCAACGCTGAATACTGAGCGCCTTTGCTGCAGTTTGGGTCCAAATGCGCCGAAGGCACATTAGTGCAGGTTCAAGCAAACAGGGGTAATGTCAACGCTTCGAACGCTGGCATCGAGCCGCGCTCTCGCATCATTATAACATGCCAGTTCTAAACTGGGTTCGGATCGAAGTTGGCGCTGTCTCCAATCGGCCTATGCATCGATTCGCCGGCCTGCAAGGAGTGCTGTGGGGCGTGGCCTACTCTAATGAATCCAATCTGTCCGTTGACGCGCTTTTTGCCCTGTTTTCAGAACCGGGAGCTGCAGATAATGAGGAAGCTGGAACATTGCAACATCGTGAAACTAAAATACTTCTTCTACTCGAGTGGGGACCAGGTCAGAATGCCTGAGGCTCTTTTGCTGTCGTCGTCGAAGACGCTCTCTTTTCTGTGTCCATCAAAATGTTGATATTTTGTCGGGGCGAGTGTCTTTATGTTTGGCCACTTGGGTGGCAAGGTTGTCAATATTTGGTTCATGCCATTACACCCTCGGCTTGGGGCTCACTGCCTGTTGCCCCTTCCTCAAAATAGACCAATCAGCGTCGAACCGAGCTGCTGTCCACCCAGCACCAAAGCGTCCTAAGCTTGACAAATGGGCCGGACAGGTCAGATGTTTGGGTTCGAAGTCAAAGGGCAACGGATTAGCGCCATCGACTTGCGCGTGTAGGGCGGCAGAGAGCCAACATTCTGGTAGCATGCAGTTATGTTTACCTCCTGCACAGCTTGCTGGATGAGCTTTGGAACACTGTGGGGGGGGGGGGGGGGCGGCTGCGGGTTCGCCTTAAAGGTTGCATTGTCCGCAAGTGGCTGTCCAGTGATCGAAAAGGATTCCAGGCATTGCTGCCTGCGACTGGTGCGTGTGCTCGTGTCTGGACTGTCCAAACGGACGTGATGTGAGCTAACCGGTGTGTAGACCATCCGGCGTCCGAATACGGAGGTGCCGCTCATGTCCGTGTCTGTGCTGGCTGAATATGATTTTCGTTCCGCGTCCGTCGCTTCATCCATTCTCCACGCGCGTGCCGGACCGGGAGACCCCATCAACGCGCCGTCAACCCGAGCTCTCCACCACCACCGGGCGACAGGACCGGCCTCCCCGGGCCCGTGGACCAGGCGGGCGGCTGGCCGCCGGCTGGGGCGGCCGGTGCCGTCCCCGCCGGCGGCCCGTGGACCGGGCGGGCGGCTGGCCGCCGGCTGGGGCCGGTGCCGTCCCCGCCGGCGGGGTGCCGTCCCCGCCGGCGGCCCGTGGACCAGGCGGGCGGCTGGCCGCCGGCTGGGGCTGGCCGGTGCCGTCGCCGCCGGCGGCCCCGACGACGGCCGTCACGGTGCGGGCCCCGGCGCCGTCGCCGCCGCTGGGCCGGAATCGATGCCGCCCAATCGGCGCCGGCCGGCGCGGCGGTCGTGCCGTGACGGCCCGCCGTCACGGCACGTGCCGGTGACGGCGGCGTGACGCGGGGAACCCCGCCCTGCGGCCGCCGGCGGTGTGTGACGGGACGCTGCCACGCCGGGCTGTCCGCACTGGGCGGCGCTCGCACGGGTCGCTGCCGCGTCCGGTGCGGCGGCGGGGAGCCCCGGGGGACGGCGTCGTCCGCCCCGGCGCCGCTCCCGTGACCGCCGCCACGCCCCGGACCACGTCAGGCGCCGCACCGGCCGGCGCCGGCGCCGGCCGCAGCCCCGCACCTCGCCGCGGCTCGGTCTGACGTGGCTGGGCCGCAGCGCCGCACCTCGCCGCGGCTCGGACTGACGTCGCCGGGCCGCAGCGCCGCGTCACCGGGATCGGATCGAACGTGAAGTGGCGGCCACTCGCAGAGCCGTTCCTTCCGAGCTCGCTCGATCGCTCGGGACATTTCGGCTGCCATCCAATCTCGAATACCCGTCTCCTGGCCGGGAAGTATGCCGGCCGGCAGCACCGACGGCTGTCCGGGGGCGGTCGCGTCTGGGCGACGGCGGTAACGGCGGCGCTCCTCGTCCGATCTGGAGCGCCGCAGCAGGTGTGCGCCCCGCCGTCCCACCTCTGACCGGCGGCGCGTCCGTCGACAGGGCATCGCCACACCCGGCGGCCGCCGTCCCCGACGCTCAACGGTGGCTGCCGAGCCGCGGCGTGGGCGAAAGCCTGCTGAATCACGGAGTTGGGGTGTCCTCGTGTCGCGTTGGTCTGCACCCACGGCCACCGAACGAGCACCCGGTGGTGCCTGGGACAGTGAACCTCAGGAGCCGTTCCAGCGGCGCTGGCGTGTAGGAATCACGGGTGAAATGGCATTGGCAGCGGTCTTGCGTGGTGAACGGTTTTGTTCTAATCTCTGTTCGGTGTACGTGACGTCATTCGCAGTTTGCTGTGGATCATTTCGCTGACGTGGGTTTTGCGATGGTGCGGTTTGCGGCGCCTGGAGCCGGTAAGCATGCGTCATCACCATCTCACGAGAAGCTCGGACTCCTGTGTAGAGCCGTGGGTCAGCTGGTTTCTCGTCACCCACGGCCGGTCACGTGATGCACGTGACAGATGTGGCTTACGAGACTGTCGCCAGGATAGGATCTGGTGGCGCCCACGTGCCGGCCGTGCCACGGCCGCCACACAGCGCGCCGTCTCTGCCAGCTGATCTGATAGGCCGTCTGCAGCGCGGTCCCTCGCGCCGCGGCCGCCCGGCCGTCCTGCCGCCTCCGCTGTCGGCGTGCCCTTGACCTCCGGGCGTGTCTGCGGCCGTCCCGGCCCGGTCCGGTCCGGTCCGGCGCCGTCGGTCGCCTGCATCCGCTCTCCCGGTGGTACCTGCTGTGTGATCGATCGCTCTGCGCTGCGTGAACTGCTGGTGTCTGACGCTGGGCTGGGAACTGCTCCTGTCCGGTCCTGGTCTGACTGGAGCTGCTGCGTCGTCCGTCCCTGTTTAGTTGGCGAGTGGCGTTGTCTGCTGTGCTCTGGTGGCAACCGAGGCTTTCGTCTGCTCTGACCGTGTGCAGTGTGCCCTCCGCTCTGTTCTGTCCTGGTATGAACCGTCGTTTGTTCCGTGCGGATGGGAGCTGCCGTTTCTCATCCTGGAGGGCGGGGATGTTGCTCTGTTAAGAACTTCTGCGGTCTGTTCCGTTCGAGGATGCGAAGTGCTCTTGTTTTTTGTCTTCCTTTTTGCTCCTGGTTGTCACAGCTGCCGTCAGTTCTGGCTGGTGTGAATTGTATTGATAGCAGACCCTCTTTCAGACTGCATCTGTATCAACATCATACCATACACTCTTGATTGTCGGGAAGAGTCAGTCACCGCCGCGGCTTGGTATTTCATTTGAGTTTGAGACTACGGTCAAGAGTGTACGGTGTAACATCGGTGTAAACTGCCGTTGTTCGGTCCAGTCCGCCAGACCAAGCAGCAGTGACCAGCAGCACCGGCTGGCAGCCGTTGTGGTGTTCCGTGCCGGGCCGTGAGACGCCGCTGACGGCATGGACGCTGTGCGCCGCAGGCCGACGAGGTGTACCTCAACCTGGTGCTCGAGTACCTGCCCGAGACGGTGTACAAGGTATCGCGCCACTACAACCGCTCCCGCCAGACCATCCCCATCAGCTTCATCAAGGTGAGCGGCCGCCCCCAGTGCCGGGGAGGGGAGGAGGCGAGGGCCCGGGAGCGCGCCGCCGAGATGGCCGTCACCGAACCGGTGGGTGTTCCGCGCCTGTTCGGTGTGTGTGTGTGTGAGGTGCCCGGCGGGGGTCGTCCGGACGGGGGGATAGCTGGGCAGGCTCGCCAGTGCGCTGACAGAGCGGCAGGACAGACGCCGCTGTACCCCGGACGGGGGATAGCTGGGCAGGCTCGTCAGTGCGCTGACAGCGCGGCAGGACAGGCGCCGCTGTACCCCCGGACGGGGGGATAGCTGGGCAGGCTCGCCAGTGCGCTGACAGCGCGGCAGGACAGACGCCGCTGTACCCCCGGACGGGGGATAGCTGGGCAGGCTCGTCAGTGCGCTGACAGCGCGGCAGGACAGGCGCCGCTGTACCCCGGACGGGGGGATAGCTGGGCAGGCTCGCCAGTGCGCTGACAGCGCGGCAGGACAGACGCCGCTGTACTCCCGGACGGGGGGATAGCTGGGCAGGCTCGCCAGCGTGCTGACAGAGCGGCAGGACAGGCGCCGCTGCACACGTGGACAAGAGGGAGTTATGGGACGGCTGTTTGCTTATGGCCGACGGAGGAGGAGGCGCCCGTCCGCCCGCCCGCCTGCCCGCTGGCGGGGCTGTGGATGGCGCTCGCGTGAGGCCCGCGGTAAATATTTGAGGCGGCTGTAAACCCTGTCACGACGGTGAGGGAAGAGCCCGGTTCGGGCGACCATCGGGGCCGCGCCCTCGGCCGGTCGCCAGTTTAGACAGGCTGTTAGCGGGCTTCCCGCCCCTCCCTTCCCTCCCCCTCCATCACCGGGCGTCCGCCCGCGTTCTGTCCCGTCCTTCCGTCGTCGGCTGGGCTGGCGCCCGGACGGTCGCGCCGCCGGATGGTCCGTGGCGGTACTGTTAGGCGATGAATCAGACAGGAAGGTTCCGCCGGCCGGTGCCCGGTCATGTACGAATAAGGCCGATGTGTGCATTGTACGACTGTTTTTAGCGAGCGTGGTGACTCATCGATGTCGATTGCTGCGGAAGCTCCCAGGGAACATGTCAGTAAGTTCTCATGGAAGGCTAGCAACACAACTGAGACGCTCTATGCGAAGTAAAATATCGCCTTGGGTGCGTTGCTCGTTTCCTGCCCCCCCCCCCCCCCCTCGTCGCCAAGCGCGTGTTCGGCTGGTGACCATCCCGCGCGTGCCCGCCTGCAGCTGTACATGTACCAGCTGTTCCGGTCGCTGGCGTACATCCACTCGCTGGGCATCTGCCACCGGGACATCAAGCCGCAGAACCTGCTGCTGGACCCGGAGTCGGGCGTGCTGAAGCTGATCGACTTCGGCAGCGCCAAGGTGCTGGTGGCCGGCGAGCCGAACGTGTCGTACATCTGCTCGCGCTACTACCGCGCGCCCGAGCTAATCTTCGGCGCCACCAACTACACGACCAACATCGGTGGGTGAGCGGTGGTGGCGGGCCGAGGCCGCGCCTGGCTGACATAAGTCGGCGAGAAGCCCGGAGAGCGCGCGCGTTGCTGCCGGACGAGCGCCGTTGGCGCCGGTATGGCCTGGCCTCGGCGGGCGTGGGTGCCGAGTCTTGGTGTAGTGCTGCTGACGGCTCTGCAGTAGGGTGGTGGTGACTGCTTGGGTACCGTGGGCGGTACTTACCGTGCGGCTCTGTAAACGTCGCGTGATGCCGACTGGACCTGTGCTGTGCTGTGCCGCCGTGCTGTCCCGACGGGGCCCCTGAGCTGTGCTGGTGACCTGAGCTGTGCTGTGCTGTGCCGCCGTCTTGTCCCAACGTGTGCCGTGACCTGTGCCGCTGGCCTGACCTGCGCTGGTGACCTGAGCTGAGCTGAGCTGACCGAGCTGCGGTGCCGCCGGCAGACGTCTGGAGTGCCGGCTGCGTGCTGGCCGAGCTGCTGCTGGGCCAGCCCATCTTCCCGGGGGACAGCGGTGTCGACCAGCTGGTCGAGATCATCAAGGTGCTGGGCACGCCCACGCGCGAGCAGCTGGGCGAGATGAACCCCAACTACACCGAGTTCAAGTTCCCGCAGATCTGCGCCCACCCCTGGCAGAAGGTGAGAGCGGCGGCCGGAGACGAGAGCTTCCGCGGCTCGGGCGCAGCTCGTCGGGCATGTGCGCGAGCGGTGGTGGGCTCTAGTCTCCGCGACGGTGGTATTTTATTCTCTCTGGCGGCCATCGGTGTGGAAAACCACGTCACTGGGGTTGGCGGGAGCACGCGCCGTGACGTTACGGGGCGGGTGAACTGGGCGTCGCCGGGCTCACTCCGGTGTCAGGCGGTGTCGGACACTCGACGCTGCCAGCTGCCGGCGCCGGCGACGGACCGCACGGGGCGCCGGCGCGCCCGACGCCGCGTCGAGGCGCGCCGGACCGGCCGCGGTGTTGTTTCGCCCGCGGAGCTCGCCGCCGCCGGCGACGGCAGCCGGTGGCGCCATCCGCACGGTGTCGATAAGTCGATGTGGTGCGGGCCCCGATTGCGTGTCGGATCGCCACGCCGCGAGCTCGGCGGTTGGCACAGCCGGGCCGGTCGACGGGCTACGCTCGCATGCTGGAGCTATTACCGCGCCGCCGTCATTACGACCGGCGCGCTTTGCGGTGCCGAGTGGAAACGACAATTGCGGTGCTAAAGTCGGTAGTGCACGACTCGCCGCGTACGCAGGGCGACGTGCCGTCTGTGTTCTGGGACATTTCTCCCGTTTTTCACCACTACCGCGCGCATACGATTTTTGTGCCGCCTCTGAAATGCCTACTTCTGACGCCGCTCGTGTGTCTTCCTCGTTCTCTGTCCGACGTCCCCCCCCCCCCCCCTCCGGCCCCGAGAGTTGGCCCACCTGACGGGGCCGGGCCCGGCGGCGCCGCTGCAGGTGTTCCGGGCGCGCACGCCGCCCGAGGCCATCGAGCTGGTGTCACGGCTGCTGCAGTACACGCCCACCAGCCGCGCCTCGCCGCTGCAGGCGTGCGCGCACCCCTTCTTCGGCGAGCTGCGCGAGCCGCAGGCGCGCCTGCCCAGCGGCCGCCAGCTGCCGCCGCTCTTCAACTTCACCGAGCAGGGTCAGTTCCGGAATGGCGCGCAACGAGGGCGCTGAGTGCTCGGGCGGCCTGCCCACCTGCCGGGGTGGGCGTGAGAGAGCGCGGAGACCGCGGCGCTGCGTGTCGGGGGCACACTTGTGCCCGGTTGCCCTGATCGGGGAGTGACGTAGGGTTCCGGATGGACACGTGATCCGGTATCATTGGTGTAAGTGATTAAGTGATCGTACGAAAGGATCAGTCGTAATGTGTGCGCTCCGGTTTAGAGTTGTGTGTCGTGAATGCTCGAATTGGGTCGCAGAACATGAAGAGGCAGCGCGGGATAATAGATTTAACGATGCCCGATTAAGGCCTGGTCGTCATGGCGCTCGTGTGCCCTGTTAATTCCCGTCCACGTCGCTGGTCGGCCAACGAAGACGAGCATAAATCGAACCACAAACGGTCTCCCCGTTTCTGATCGGATCAGCTTCGTCGCCGATGTGATCCGGCGGTGCAGTAGTGTCCAGGCCTAGACCGGTCTACGTAAAACGGTTCTGAAATGTGCCAGAACTATTCGATGTAAAAGACCTCACAGAAAACGACCGGCGCTCACCGTCGGGTACGGCCACGTTATCATCTGGCCGCCGGGCCGCGCCTCTCACGCCGTCCTGGCCGTCCGCAGAGCTGAAGGTGTGCCCGTCGCTGACTAGCACGCTGCTGCCGGCGCATGCGCGGAGTGGCTCGGAGGCAGAGGGCGCCGCCGCCGCCACCACGGACGCGGCCGGTGCCGGCGGCGGCGCCGACCCGGCCTCGCCCAGCGCCGCCAACGCCTGAGGAGCTGGAGAGGCCTGAGGAGCCGGCGTTGCCCTGTGACCGCCGCCGGCCGACCCGGCCTCGCCCAGCGCCGCCAACGCCTGAGGAGCTGGAGAGGCCTGAGGAGCCGGCGTTGCCCTGTGGCCGCCGCCGGCCGACCCGGCCTCGCCCAGCGCCGCCAACGCCTGAGGAGCTGGAGAGGCCTGAGGAGCCGGCGTTGCCCTGTGACCGCCGCCGGCGGCTGTCGCCCGGCCGTGACGGGTTAGAGGGCCTTCTCTCAGCGGGGGTCGGGCGGGCTGTGCCAGCAGCACCTGCGGCCGCCGCACGGGCTACAGGGACGAGGTGCGAGGTGCAGGGACGGGTGGGGGGACGGCGCGTTGCGCGCTGGCGCATACCCGGCGCCCGGCGGGGGCGCGTACTGTGGCAATATTCACGCGTGACGTGCTTGATCAGTTGTTGCCGGTGTTTTGTGTGCCGCGGCGTGGCCCATTTTACGCGTGCACTGCACGTGCCGAATGCACGCCTCGCGCGTACGTGCATAATGAATGAGGATGTGTTAAGACTTGTAGAGGATGCGGAGGACCAGGAGGACGCGTACCGCGGCCGGCCGGCCGGTCCAGGCCGGCGCTCGTCGCGCCTGCTCAGAGTCGTGCCATCGGGGACGAGGCCCGCCGCGGGGCGGCGGCCGCCGCGGGTTTTCCCGGTGGCGCCCGGCGCGCCCCGCGCCGCCGTCCCCGCGGCGGCCGCGCCCTCGTGCGCATGTGTATGCGCGTGTGCGTGCGCGTGTGTGCTGCGCCCACTGCGGCGTCGGTCACGTGACAAGGGTGGTGTTCTCGTCGTCGCCGGGCGCCGCCCCGAGACAGCCCGCAGCTCCCACCGGTGCTCAGCACGCGCTGTTGGTTCACGTTTAGCGGTTTTGTATGGTGTACTGTCTTACCTCCGGCGCGAACTGGACGAGGCTCGTGACAGCAATGCGTGGCGAGGGCGAGGCCGCCGCCGCCTCGACACGGCGTCCTCCACCGCTGGCGGCGCCGCTCGTGCGCCAGGGCACCCTAGCTATGTGATCATAATTTTTAGCCTAGTGTCCCATGTTGTAAAGTTGTACCTTAATGATAACACGATGAGCCAAGCGATCGGCGTTTTTCGGAGGATGGATGTAGGGCTGGCCTGGATACGCCGCGTGACCGGTAGTTGGCGGCGGCCGAGACCGGGTGAATGATTTAGCTACTTAGGTGGGCTCTGGACGTATGGTGGGATGAGATTTGAGAGGTGGTCCGGGTGGAGGGGACGCGTGAGAGCTGGAGAGGTTGGACGCGTTAGCGTGTCGGAGAGCCGTGCGTTGGATACAGAGATCTTGATTTGGATTTGCCCCGTCTAAAATGAATAAGCATTTGGTAAAATTGCAGCCCGTTAGGGTTTCGAGAAAGAACTGGGGCAAAAAGTGTACGGGATATATAGCGGATAGATGGGAAGGACGTGCTGGGGACACGGGTCAGCCGCTGCTGCAACTGGACGTTATCATGGGAGAGGGCGTGCGTTGCGACAGGGGTTAGGACTGCCACCTTCCGGCCGGAGTCGAAGACCTGACTGCCAAAACTGTCAACAGATGGCAGTGCCGGCACCTCCGGGCTAAGCCGTGCAGCCTTCGCACGACAGCATGACAGCTTTGTTTACCAGCTGGAGGTCTCATTATCCCTGGCGAGGCGGGCGTAAGTGCCTTTTGAAGGCCCAGGTGCAACTTGGAGTGCGGCGGTGCGGAGTGCGCCTCCCGCTTCCTGCGTCGTAACGAACCGCGGCACGGACCGCCAAAAGCCGACATGAGCTCATCCATGCGCAAGGCCAGCAGTACTCGATCGGTCCAGTGTCCGCTCTCAAGGGTGTTGGCGCCAACCTCTACTGCGACGTCGTGGTTGAAATGGGCGAGGGATGCGCGCGGTGGACCGGGCACCTGAGCGGACTTCGATCGTGTCCGCTTACACGGCCTCGTCACTCCCCTCACGGTCTGGTGGAGCGGCGAGCATTAACTACCAGCTGGATCAAAAGTAAACCAGTAGTTCTTTCACAGCAGAGCTCGTTTCATTGATTTTTGATTGACTGGGTAAACACATGGATTTACGAGTGACAATACGCTGGACAGGGCTGGGTCGGGAAGCATCAGAAATATAAATCGGGATTAGATGTGAAAAATATTCAGCCCGAGTATACTGCAGGATATTGAAAGACTGAAGGTGAAGCTATGCTAGGAAGTTATAAAGCAGGATATAGCCCAGGTCTGCCGCGTTCGATATGTCAAATTGCGTCGGAGAGGGATGGATTGGCACAGTTTATTCTCTTAAACATTTTTGCTGCGGCGGATGGACAGGCTCGGGTTTTGGATTCGTGCAAAAGACAATGCTCGGCGGATGCGATTGAAGTTTGAGAGATTGCACTGACCTTGGTCCTGCAAGCTCGATATATTAATCTTTCTATGCCTCAGTACTTTTAGATATAACCAATGCTGCTTTGTGTTCGCAATTTTTTTTCCCTGTGTATCGGTGCTATGGTCGGGTGAATAAAACAAAGGTCACTCTCCGTGTGACCTTTGCTTCGAAACTCCATGATAATCACGGCAGTTTCGACGCGTTTGCACCCCTGACTGTCTAGCTCAAGTCAGCATATCGTCACTACATCCCAAAGGCTATCTGAAAACATTACATTACCGGTCAAGTCAGCGGATGATCTGGAACTTACAGAGTGAGCACAAGTCAGGTACTGGCGCTGACCGCACCTTCAGGAACTGTGCTACTGGTACGTCGCATTTAATTCATGTTGCCAATTCAGATTCAAAGCTGGGCATGATGCGTCATAGACCATGAATGACGAGAGTCAAGAGACGTCCGCCGTTTCAGTGCAAAACGATCTCAATGCGAACAAACGACGTCAATTGCAGCCTTTGACCTGATGTGACCTGGACCTCAAGTGGCCGCCGTTGTTGCCCTGGGCTTCAATGACGCTCATGACATAACCACTCGACACCTTGCAAACCACCAGTGAAGAAACAGAATACACAACACATGGCATAGCGGAGAGCTAAAGCTGGCCGATTTACACATGAATGGAATAAGACCTCTGCAAAAACGAGGCCATTGGTGTGGAACCTGACGTCGGTGGCCAAATCTTCGCGCTAAATGTAGAGCATTCCGGATTGCATCATTCCCGAAACTGCATTCTCTTCAGCCCAACAGGCCGCCGGGCCTCTATTCAGCATGTCGATGGGAAGCTATAATGGAATTCGGTCGTCATGCCAACCTAATATCCCGCCTCCAAGCCGATGTGGGGCGCCGCGTGGCTACGCCGCCCCCACCGCAGCCGGCTGCAACCATCGCTTGGTCGGCGAAACCCGTGTCAAGCAGCCCATTTGCGCCGTTATCAAACTTGGAGTGTTGGAATTTGTCAGTTTGAAGTAGGTGTGTTATTGATTTTCGTTCCAGCGATACAGGCGTCTGCTGATCTTATGCAAATGGGCCTAGAGTTCGTTCTCGTTGATTGCGTTATAAATTGGGCAGCAGAGCAACAATCGGTCTTGCCATAGCAGACATCATGTTCGTTGTCTAGCAACTTTCCATACGATACACATGGGGATATGTATCTTACAAGGATGAAGCGTGATAAAGAGAAACAGTGACAACGAATTAGTGCACAAGGCTGAAGCGGCTCCACAGTTCGCCGCCGCTGCTCAGATGCCCGGCAACCGCCCGCTTTAAGCTGGGCAGTCTGCTGAAGACGGCCTGTGCAGCTCTGCATTGTGTTCTCCAATACTGTCTCCAGGCAACTTGACTCAAGTGAAAATGGCATTAGGCTTCTGATTCTAACACACTTCGAACGTTTGTGCTCCAATAGCTGATCCTTTAGTGCACTGAGGGATGCTGGTGTGAAGACAATGTCATGCAATCGTCCTCCATTGTTTGCTTACCCCTTAAATCCGTTAGTTGATAGAATGGTGTCGTTTGCTGTGGTCTGTCGGTTTTTCAGACATATCGCTTAAAAGCTACAAGAGGTAAGGGGGGGGGATGCATTTTTCGAATCGTTCAAATCTGTGAACATCTAGACTTGACAAGGGCTGTGAAGCGAATGTCGAATGTAACACTTCACAGTAGCAATTCTCCCCCTTTTTGGGTATCATGACCGGCCGGCATGCATTAGCACGTATTGCTGATACCTGATTTCACACAGCTGCTTAGGATGCCGCCGCGAGTTGAATTTTAAGGTAGCATTAACTGGAAACGAACCCGTTCAGTTTGCCTCTTATCTCGCAGTGTCCAAACCTTCGTATTCGCTACATTAGGACATTTGACCAAATATTGGGATTGGGAGAATGTTGAAAAGTTGAAATCAGTATAGGCATATCATGAAATTTTCGAATACCCTCTGACAACGATTCAGATAAGACACAAAACCACTCAATATTGATGCTGAACATGATTGGCAGCTCCACTGTGGTGGACGGGAGGGACGTAACGCATAGTTTTGTTTCATTGACACCGAGTTCAAGACTCACTGCACCTCAGTGATGGGGCATCACTGATTTATGCTACTCGTATGGGGCCGCCGTTGAAAACGACCCTGTGCAAAACTGCTGTAGCATTAACGCGCGCCCGGATGGCCGGGCGAATACCCTCCGCTCGGGTGGGTGGCCAGTTTGCGTCTCCTGAAATATCTGAAAACAAGATATATAAAATTCGCTGTGTGTTGCCATTTGCTCACTTGTTTGAGCTCACTTGTTTTAAAATTCAAGTTTCCTAGGTCATGACCTTCGGGTCAAATAGGGTCAAAAGATGTCTAACTCCATATTGGTCGCCAAAGTGCCCCCAGCCTTTTCATGCAACCACCGTGAACCTTGATACCTGTCCTGAGCAAAAGGTCACCGGTGCTCATTTAAGCTCAGTGACCTTATCTGATCTTTCAAAGGTTTTGGTGACCTAAATCATCTAGGGCAGCTTTGAATTTTGCATTTGAGTGAGTGTCAAAGATAACGCTAGGCGGTATGTTTCAAAAACAAAATGTCGACCATGGTCATTTTAGGTCAGTGACCTTTTCTGACCTTGAAGGAGTTCATGGAAAATGTGTAATACGGTTCCTGTTATCAATAAATTCAAGATCAGCACCAGAAACTATTACACATAACAGGCTCTAGAATGATAAAACGGGCTTGTTTTGACCTTGATCTGACCTTAAATCTGACCCTAGGTCAGTGTATTTTGTTCATTTCATTGTTGTGCTGCGTGGAAAACTATCTCAGAGGTGTATGGTTTCGTCTGAACAAACTTTGAAAAAAAACTTCGTCTGAACAAACAAAAACAAACTTTGGAAAGGGGTCAAATTGACTCCACTCAAGTGCATGTTAAGATCGAATGAATTAAAGTACAACATACTTCATCAGACTCGCCAGGGTAGCCGCTTACTTTCAAAAATATAGCTGGTCATAGGAGGTACTCATTACATTGGGGAGGAAAGATTCGCTATAGAATTCAAAAAATCTGCTGCTCACAGTAATTGTAATATGCATATATCAATAGCTTCTGAACGGTGCAGTGTAGCCGCACCAACTCTTCATGGCTGTAGGCAATGAATACCGGATCTTATGGTGCAAAAAATACCTTGTTAGGTCACTGACCTATGGCTGGTCA